ACACACACACACACACACGCACACACACTCACACCTTCATCGAAAGTTAAGCAATCAACCATGAATCTGTTGGTTGGCTCTCACAAAGTGCCATACATAGTTGAAACATGTGTCCACATCCTGCCTTTTTTTTTTGCAGTCAAGCGCCACGAATAGCCACCTCCCCGGTATATGAAAAACCCTACATGAAAACATAAAACCAGTCATGCGGGGCTCACAGCTGTATTGGAAAGATTTTCTTGTCTAGATAGGCTTTGAGAAGGGAAAACATACCTGTAACCACCCGAAAACACGTTCGAATATTGTCACATTGCAAAACAAAATAAACTCATAGGAACAACAAAGGCAATGAAGTCTATACGGGAAGAAAACAACTCTTTGCAGTTTCCTATTTGATGTGTTAATACTGCTTACTCTTCTGGTTGTCTCTCGAGTCTTCAGTAACGTCCACAGGATAATATTATTATGTGCCATGGCTTACATGAAGGAATTGTTTCACACAATAATGTCTAGTATTCCAGTTTTTCTCTTGAAAGTAAACCCTAAGGTCGTGTACAAACGAAGAACGTGCATGTTTATGGTTTAGTCAAGGACATCACATTAAAAAAACCAATGTGGTGGTGTTTTCTGCAGTGAAAGGGAAACAAGACTAAGACTGCATAATCCATCTTTAAATGTTTTCTGTCATCCGAAGATTTGCCCAAAGCTCTTATGTTGACACTTTCACCTGTTCTGTGCCATATTTAAACTTGTGCCAAATATTATAGGTTCAGAACTGTTTGGTGATTTAAGAGGCGAATTTTCGAATTTAACGTCCAACTCCGACTGAACCGAGCCAAACGGGTGGAGAGTCTTACAAACTCCAAACAACACAAGTTCAGACTGCCCAGTTCGGGATTCGAATCGGGACCAACTGCTCCGCAGTCAAGGATGATTACTACTAATCTATCGGTGGACTGCACCCTGTGTTATATTTATTTGACGGTTTAGGACACCGCGTGAAACGATGGTGCTGTTGTAATAGTTCAAAGAACTTAAAGAGTTAAGGAAGGTATGCATGCCATAATATACCATGCCTTGCATTATCTCATTCCATTCCATACCACACCATACCATAGCATTCCATACCAAACCATACCATACCATTCCATACCATACCATACCATACCATACCATACCATACCATACCATACCATACCATACCAATAAGATAACATAGAATAGATAAGACGAAAAGTGCTGTTTTGGTCTACCAGAGATTTTTGCAGTTATGTCTGTGTATTGGAGCGTTGGTCGGAATGTGAAACATTTGCAATTATTCTTTTGATCCCGTCAGGTGATACGGAAACGACTGAACAAAAGTTTCAGTAATTCAAGCAGTCTGCACCAGCCGGACCCAGATGCTCGTCAGGACGCCCAGGACCCGGCAGTTGGCCATGTTGATGACGCAGACGACAACTTTATGGACGATCACCTGGCGCCGAAGCTCAGCGCCGGAAATTTTGCGGACGGGTATAGGAGATCGCCAGAAGAGGAACAAGGCGGACCGCTCGCCAAGGTAAATATGTGAATGAATGAATGAATGAATGAATGAATGAATGAATGAATGAATGAATGAATGAATGAATGAATGAATTGATTGTTGAATGGAAGGGTGGATGGACGGATGGATGGATGGATGGATGGTTGGATGGGTGGATGAATAAATGAATGAATGAATTTTTACATGTTATAAAAACCTGTAGTCGAATCGATTTCAGAGGAGATTTTTATCCATTAACTAGTTACAGACAATTTAAAATACCGATAACATATTCCTTTATTGCTTTAATGTTATTGTGGAATAAGACTAAGTAATATGTACACAGCGTTATACTACTCAACGTATTTGAAATTATACCCTGAACGCTCATAAGCGTATATCTTGCATAATCGTATTCGTACATTATTTAACATCGAAAAGATTATATTATAGAAATTCAAACGAAACGGCATTTATGGCTATATACCATATGACGTTCAAAATATACATATTGCCTATATTATGCTGTTTAGTGTAAAATATAGAGCTTTGTCCTAAATGTCATACTGTGATTTCTTACGAACAAAAACACAAGACTTAAAACAATGTAGGTATGAATATACAAGTTGTATAATATAATGCAAGGGACTGCATAGAATATGATAATACGATTTTAGAAAATATTTTTATGCATTTTGCGCAGGTGAACCCAATTAGAGAGGGTCCTGCCGTCAAACGCAACGGTGGTGGGTTCGGATCTCGGGCCAACTACAGCCTGCCAGACGTGGATGGCTTCATCCGTGTGTTTGAGTACAAGTACTCGTTGTCACCTTATAATGTGGGCAACATGAGTACCAGCTACCAGGATGTGCTGCAGGCGACCGACAAACTCAAACGCAAAGGCGCCAGGCTGAGAGCTTACGTTAACAACAGAGGGTGAGTGCTTGGTTTTGATTCGGGTGTCTGCACACCATCGGGTTTTGAACAAAGTCGGAAGATGTAACCGTCATTATGTGATATTGTTCGATGTGGATGGTTCTCTGCCAATTGTACACTCGCTGCTATGTCAGTTTGACGTTGAGTTAACGTTGCGGTTTTGACTTCCATGTGATATAGCAAAGCATGCGTACTTCTAAATACGTGTTGTTTTTTAAATGCCCCACATGTTGAGCAACGACAAAGGACCCACACCCTCCATCCTCCCTCTCCCCTTTGTCCACGAATTGACCTCATCTGTTGCTCACCAGTATCTGAATCTGACCTCAGGTGTGTTTAGGGGCTGGGAAGTCACTTAAGTCTGGTTAGCAATAGGTGGGTTTCTTTTCCGTTTTCCGTCTGGTGTTTTGTGAAAGACTGCCCTGTTCCCCGATTCTCCCACTCCCTCAATAATCATTATTCGTCTTAGGTGATCTTTCACAACATAAGGATAGCTTTTTGTTGCTGTATTTTAAACCCCGCTTACCGAAATTCTATGAATGATGTTTTAAAAAAAGTATTTTGTTTTCATGCCCCCAACGAAACAATTTGGATCGGTTTTTGGAGGCCGGGTTCAGACCAATCTTGTCAGGGCCAACCCTGAATGAAAGGGATACAGCATCCCAGCAGAAAGACTGAGATACTCGATGCACATTTATCCCCACTTAGTAATCGAACTCAGGTCTCTTGCGAGCGATAGCAACGGGCCTAATTGCTACACCATAAACTGGTCC